GCAGCATCCTTGGAAGAGGACACAACTGTGCAGACGCATAGGCAGGTCAGAGAGCTTGGGTGTCTCATTTCAGTGTAGGATTATTATTGCCTCTTGGGTTTTGTTATTCAGCTCACATTTATCAGCGAATAAAGAGAAGAATATCTCTTTGGGGGAAGACTCGGCACCAAGGCCAGGCATCTGATGTGGGAGTAGAGTGGGAGGGTCAACCCCTGGGGTGTCCCATGGTGTCCTGGCCATGTACAGTTCTCACGTGTGATCACAGTGAGCAGTGCTGCTAACACCTAGCTCTATTTAGTAAAGGAGCCATGGGTTTACAGGAAAAATGGCACATGGGTTCTCAGGGTGCTTTGATCCTGTAGAGAATCTGGGGACACACTAGCCCTTTTGCTTGGATGACTGAGTTGAGCGGATGCTCAAGTGCATTAGAGTCCTATTCTGTGTCTGGGAATTATCAGTTCCCTTGGGGAGGGTATTGGCTGCTGTCTCGGAGGCCTCAGTGGTCTTCCTCTCCCACCTTGCTCCTTGCATCCCAGGTGTGATGAGCGCTGGCACTGACCTCTCCATACTGCACCATCACCTAATCTCACAAAATAACCCCTAGTGGAGTTGGCTCCAGGGTCCTGTGCACCTGCTGAGGTGGCTTCAGGGCACCTTCTAGAGTAGTTTGACTCCAGGGAACTGATGAGGTCAGGGGTGCAGGTGACATGTGGAGAGTGTGCACCTGGCCTCGACTCCTGATGTGGTCAGGCAAGTTTGCTTACCTCAGAGTGGGGCAGATGGAGAGTCCCCCGGGAGGTGTGGAGCCACCTTGGAGATGGTACCTGACTCATGGCTCCTTTGTCTGCAAGCACCAGCTCAGTGGTTGGGGACATTTGTTACATAGTGCTGGAAGGTGGAAGGTGGCTGGGCCCCTGAGTCATGGACGTCTGGCTCTGTCATCAGGCCACAAGGCAGCCCCTGCCACCACCTGCCCTTTCCCAGAGCCCCTCACTCTCCGTTTCCTCCCTCTGCTCATTGCTCTGGGCCCCAATTGTATGTCTTCTGCTCTCCTCTGCACACAGGACAGAAAATGGAAATCCTGTAGTTGTTAGGTTCCCTGTACTGGAAATGATAAAGCTTAAGAGTACCTTCCCAGTTCCTAGAGAAAATTGAGTTTCAGTCAGGCAAGGATTTACCTCCGCTGAACACAGCTCTAGCTCATCATCAAGGACCACGCACTTCTAACATAATTTCTGAGATTACACTAGGTGGAGGTGGGAGTGGAGCAGAGAAGTGACTTCTAGGGAAGCTCTGTATGTACTTGGAGTGTGTCTGAAAGGAGCAGTGGGGTGACGGAAACTTTTTCCTTCCTTCCTCTCTCCATCTCTCCCGCCTTGTGTGCATGCTTGTCAGATGTGTTACACTTCTATGGCCCCATAATCAAAGGTAGAATTGGAAAGGTGAGCGAAGTCCCCACAGTTCTGTCCTCATGGAGCTACCATGCTGGTAAGAAAGCAAATTTGTTAGTGCAGTGTTAAAGCAACTGCTGTGATAAGGACTGTGGGGGGGTGATGTGTTCCTTAGACCATATGGCGGAGTATTTCCATGAGGAAGTAGCCATCCATGGAAGGTAGTCCACTGCAGGCTCCCGCAGACTCCATGAGGTAGTCCACAGTGGATGCCTTGAAAGTAGAGATGCTGTGTGGGCTGGACTGTTTAAAAAGTCAGGGCCACCAATTTAAACAACACGTAGGTTTCTTGGGGATCATCAACATGGGTGTTTTGGAAGTGCTGACATTGCCATTTTGTACATCTATCTGAACAGGGTTCAGGGGTGAAGGAAGCTAACTTGTGAGGCCAGTGGTCACCTCCTGCAAGAATCCCATGACTCCTCTGAAACTCTGGAGGGCATTTTAGGATTTTCACACTGCTTGGTACGTTGCTAAAGACTGATTCCATTATCAGTAGGTGACAGTGGTTTCCGGACTGTTTATAAAGCAATCCACCTCAAGGATTTGACAGATTATTATCAACAAAAAGATGGTAATTTCAGCTGTGGGTTGGATTAAAATCACGATGTGGAATTATAGGTACCAAGGTAATATGGGGATGAAATTAATTGCTTTGGTTGGATACCAAATAAAGAGTACCCAAGGAGGCCCTGTTGCTCAGAGAAAACTTCTTTCTGGTATGGAGGTCAATGTCCTTCCTGGTCCTGTGACATTTTGGGTAAGGGAGGACTTCTAGGCTATGCAATGTGGTGAGCAGGTGCTCAGTGGCTGGGTACTACACCTGATGGTAAGGCTGCAGAGTGAAATTAAACATGGCCTCAGCCCTCCCAGAGTGCACAGCCTGGGTAGGTGCAGTCCACAAAGGAATAGAGAGGACATACCGTTCTGGTTGTGACAAAAGGATGTGTATATGGCCATAGGAGCCAACCCCCACGGTGTGGTCTAGCTGGAAAGGTCAGTGAAGGCTGCAGAGAACACTCACATTGTCTTTGAGTGTATGCTCACATGGACCCAAGTGCTGGGTGCTCAGGAAGAGAGAAGAATGTGACCAAAGGGCTGCAGGGGTAAATGTCCCTGTGTCTTCCCAGTGGTTCATGTAGCTGAATCTCAGAGGGCATGACTGAATGTGTTAAGGGCCAGAAGGTAAGTAGGCAAGACAGTTGTGCTAGACCATAGCTATCATTATTTTTAATAAATAAGAGGTTATGTATAGACTCTGGGAGGTACTAAGAGTTCAGTAAAGTCACTGCTGCTATTTTAGACAGTAGGTGATCCTCCTGCTGAAGTATAGTGTGGATTTATGGAAGAGAACCATGGGACTTGACTCTTTATTTCCTAACTGTCCAACGCTTCTTCCCAGTCATGTTTATGCACGTCATCTGGTTACCTTTGTCTCTTCTTTAAGGTCTCAACTCTATCGCCATTTCCCAGAGGGAGGCTTCCTCGACACCCCTGACCAACATCTGCCTTTTGGAGTGACTGCAGGCACTGCACAGACAATGCCCGACATAAAAATGGCTAAACATAATAAACTTTTAAATAGTGCCGACTTTGTGTCAGGCTCAGTGCTATGTGCTTTACAAATATAATTAATAATGATCTCAATCCTCGGTCCTATGTGTGTTCTAGGTAGGGTGTAGTTTCTACTTTTAGCAATGTAAAACTTAAAAGAAAGTAATTTCTTATTCTTTACGGCTGACTAGTTTTCCATTTTATAGAAAAACCACATCTTCTTTACACAGTTTCCAACTGATAGGCAAATGGGCTGTTTCCAAGTTTTAGCTGTTACAAACTGTGCCTGTATAAAGATAGGTGTGCATATACCTTAAATGTACCAATAAACTCAATAAAAGGAAAAAAAAACCTTCAAGAAACATTGAATGACTTGGCTATAGTCAAAGAGCTAGTAGACAATGGAGCTAAGGATGATAGGAAAGATGGATGGATGGACAGATGGACAGATGGACAAATGGATGAATGGATGGACGATGAACGGATGACTGATCTTCATTGATATGGGCTCATGAACTTCACTGTTATCAGTTAAAGGAAGTTGAAATCATCAAATACCAAGCAAAAGGTTACTGAAATATATACAGTGTCACCATTGTCTTTACCACGTTAGAATCTTGTGTACGCTTGGACTTTTCCGCAGGTTTTTCTTTCCAAAATTTTGAAGCCATTTGATTTTCTCAGGTGTTTTAGGCTAATAATACCTGTGGGCTCACCAAATGTAAATGTCACATAAAAAGTGGCACACTTTTATTTTCTTAATGAATCTGCAAATATTATTTAAAGCTCTGAACTTGTGAATTGCACTGCATTGGTGGGTAAACTGAATTGCTACTTTGTAAGTGTAATTCAGTGAGCATTGGCTCAAGATTCCAGATGCCTGCAAACCAGTTCATTCCCTGTTATTTAAATTTCTTCTCAGAAAAAGGGCCAATTATCATCAACCCTTGTCTTGATTTTTGTGTTTAGCCAAGGCTTTTCCCTAGACTCACTGAATTATTTGAAAATTTAATGGGCATTTGAAAGGTACTATTTAGTTTATCTTATGTTAATTAACATGAACCTTATGCTTTCTGAGTAGATGGTGATGGATATGCATTTGAAATTTAGTACTGAGCGGGTCCCTATATCATGGCCCTATATTATAGCACTGTTCATTGCAAAAAGAAGTCACCGCCATTTCTGAACTTTGGACTACCACTAAATTAAGCATTATAAACTCCTGTAGTTTCAGAATTAAAAGGAGATTTAGAGCTATTATACCCAACCTAATTCTGCTGGAAAATCCACAATAATATCTCTGACATATCAATTTCTAGTGTTTCCATGACACATTTTGTGAACAGAAGCTTATGGTGTAAAAAGATGGCAGGGCAGAGTGCTTATAAGCTTGGTGTTCAGGAGCCTAGGTTCAAATCCAGGCTCCTTTGGACCCCTGCATGTTTTGTGCAACTTTAGTTGAGCCCTCTCTGAGATTGAGAGAATAAACATACCTTCTTTGTTGGAGAGTGAAACATCTTAAGGATTATAATCATTGCCTTTTTTTTTTTTCCTTTGGTGGGCAGTACTGAGGATTGGACCCAGGGCCTTTGCACTGAGCTACACCCCCAGCCCTCTCCTTTTTTACTTTTTTATTTTATTTTGGGGGAGGGTCCTGGGGATCGAACTCAGGACCTCATGCTTGCCAGGCAGGAGCTGTGACACTGAGCTAAATCCCTGGCCCTTTTGTTTGAAATTTTTGAGACAGGGTCTCACTAAATTACTCAAGCTGGGCTCAAACTCATGATTCTCCTGTCCCAGCCTTCCAGTGTGATGGGATCACAGATATGTGACACCATCACTGTCATCAGCATCACCATCATCCCTACTGTTAAATTTGCATCGCAGTCAGAATCTCTTTTGGAGGTTAACCAATACTTCTGTGATAAAAATGGAGTGCGTTTGATGCAAGGGTACATAGTGAATACTAATGTTTGCCCCTCTTTTCTTCCTTAGGAAATTGCTCAGAGAACTCATGCGAGTGGCACTTACAGCTTCCTTGATCGGACTCCACATTCAGTAAGTGCAACCTGTTTTGAACATTCATGACATAAACATAGCCCTTTCTTGGGTTGCATTCTCTGTGTCATGCTCTCTTCTGCAGGCCTGCAAGTCTCACAGAAACTTTTCTGACTGTCTGTGTCTTTTCTTTTTCTTTCTTGCTCTATTGCATTGGATTGAGAGATGAGAAGGGGCCTGCTAGGCCGAATCCTTCTTCGGTCTCGTCCACTGCCCTACAGCAAATCTGAGCATCAGTGGATTAACTGTACCATTATTTTCTGGGGGTTAAAATAAAATGTGACTCATTTTTCTCCTGTTCTCGAGTTTTCTCACCAGAAGACATTGTGTCTCCTTTCCCCCGTCAATGACTCTGCAGCTAGAGGGAAATACCAGCGGGCAGAGATCCGTTAACAAGGCCATGTAACTCTGGAGGTGTTTAAGAACAATTCTCTTGACTCTTTTTTTTAAGTAAAAATGTGTGACTGCTATATAACAATTACCACAGAAAAGCAAGTCTGTACTTTAAGATGCCATGATGCAGTGAAGAAATTTCATTTGTTTTTAACCAGTAAGCACTTTCTACCATCTGCCTTTTCGTTGCACACAGACCTCATTTTGGGGGGAGCTAGCAGTATTTTGTCCAGTGTCCCTAGTTTCTTTTTCATTACCTACCGTCGTGTAGGGGGTGATACCTCAAAAGAGCCTCTGACATTGGCCCCCCTCTGCAGTAGCCCTTGTCCGCCCTATCAGTCAACAACTTGATGAATAAAACTGCAGTGGTTTAAGAATAAATGTCAAAAATTTGAAAGGTTAATTTAAGGAAATATTTATTTTTCAAGGTGTGGCTTCTTCTGTGGCTTTGGGAATTGCTTAGCATGTTCCGCCTCTGAGTGCTGTGGAGTCTAATTTGATTCATCATGCAGAATCATGTCATAAAGGTTCGAGTAAAATCGGAGTCCAGGGGGCCATGCCTGGTAGAGACTGATCAAAGCGAGCTCTTTTGCCCTTGGTGATTTTACCTGGGTGCCCTTATGGCTGTAGAATTTGCATACACAGGTAGGATGAAGAAGGAGGAGTAGACAGAAGGGAAGAGATGCTGCATTAGCTGTTTGGTGCCTCAAAATGACTTCCTGTCACCCTGATCAGCCGAAGCTTGTATCACACGGAAGATTAGACTCAGGGCCTTTGTTCCTAATCATAAAGGAAATTTCATCTCTAATTCCCTAACTGCCACATCTCTCTTTTCAAGCCTTTGAAGTTCAGGGTACAGCATTTCCTGAAAACGGAGAGGTTTTGTTAAATAAAAAGAAGGGGGCTGTTTGCCATGAAGCCTATTCTAATTCATTTGGTGTAAAGTTAAGTAAAAACGTGTTGCTTTATCTTTTCCTGTTGCAAGCAGCGTTCTTCTCCTAGATCTTTACCATGCTGGGGCAGGCAGGGTGAGATGAAGAAAGAGAGATATCCAAGAGGGGTTTTTAGATTATGCACGACCCCACCTCCTGTCTTTGGAACCTGATACATTTGCTGCTTCTCAGGGAAGAATTTATGTTCTACTCCTGGGCCAGGGCTGAAGCTTCGGTCCTAGGGGAGGTTCTAGTCCCCAAGATAATTAGTACAGTGCTGTAAGGGAACTCATGTTAATTTGTCTGTGGACATGGTATTTCATATCTACAACTGCAGTCTAAAAAGGAAAAAAGTATTACCATGCTGCTTTGAACCGGCAAGCACATATGATAATTTTAAAATAAATTTTGAAACAGGAAATTAAAAAACTGGATAATTCTTCATGGGGGAAATTGAGGGCTGCTGTCCAGCCTCAGCATATCTCAGTTTCCAGTTCTTCCTTTGCGATGGCAGCTTCTCTGATGCTAGAAATTTCAGTCTATTTCCAAGGGCAAAGGATTACTTCCCCTAAAGGATGGTGGAGTTCTGGGCAGTTGCTTGGTTGCCAGGCAGTCAGAGGATCTGGCACTGGAGCTGGCCACATGCCGTGATCTTCCATGGGTGTTGTCTGATGTAACATGTGCAGGTATGGCTGCTCAGGAAGTCACCGCACTCTCTTCTGGGATTTTACTGGGAGCAGTGACTTTGCAGGTAGAAATTGTATGTCTGACATTGAGCCTGAACTGTTGTGGTGGATGTTTTACCTTGTTCTGGGCCAAGATTTTCATATTCCCATTCAGGCTTCTGAGAATCAATTTCCATTTCCTGCTTCAAAAGTTGGGTTATCTTTCATTGTTTGATTTTTCCTATAATGTTCCTTTTGTACCAAGGCCCTCTGAACACAGACTGCACGTTGTATAGATACAGAGCTCACTCACATGAGCCAGTATCTATTTTCTGGCTCCACGTTCCTTTATGATCTGTGTGCTTAGCAGGATACTATAGGAAGCTCATGTTAGCAGGACTATTGGTTTGATGTAAGCCTCAAAATAATTTTCTACGACTTGTAAATTTAACCTCCAATGGAAGGCTTCCTTGTCCTTCCTCTCCTGTGAAATTATGCTTTCATTCATGCTGCATCTTAGTTATAATAAGTGAATTAATTGGGAAAATAATCAGCATTTGTCTTTCTCTTTAGTTTAGTGCTGTCCAATAGATCTGGTTCATATTCTTCTTTTCCACTATCTTCACTGGTGTCTTAATAATGAATAAAATAATGTATATTTAAGGTATATAATATGATATACATATATAGAGATATATTTATATACACTGTGAAATGGCTGCTACAATCAGGTTAGTTAACACACCTGTCATCTCCCATGGTTGCCTTGTTAAGAGTAGACAGGGGCCCGGGATTTAGCTCAGTGGTTTGGTGGCCTGCCTTGTAAGTGCAAGGACCCGAGTTCAATCCCTGGTACCAAAAAAAGAAAAAGAAAAAAAAAAAGAGTAGATAGGAGTCGGGGATTTAGCTCCATGGTTCCATCACCTGCCTTGCAAGCACAAGGATCAGAGTTCAATCCCCAGAGTAGTTAGGAATATTCTTTGTGTTATCCAACATGGTAACCACTGGACACAGGGAGCAACTGAGCACTTCAAAGGTGACTGATAAATCTGAGAACTGTTTTAAAATTTAATCATTTTAAATTTATTTAAATTTATGCACATAGAGCTAGTGACTGCTTATTATTTTGGCTAAGGAAGCCCTTAACTAGAAACCTTATGAATATGGGGCTAAGTCTGCATTGTCCACACCTAAATCTAGGCTGAAACTTAGCCAGTATAGATCAATTAGGAAGTTGACCGGTAAGGTACTCCTGTCCCAAGTCCCCAGGGTGCTCTAACCCTGCCCCTTCCCTACGCTCTGTTTCCCCACATTTACCTTTGGGGCAAAACTGAGGGTCTGAAGTACCCTGGATGCTGCGCAGTGCCACCTCGTGCATTTGTGCTGAGTGGTATCATCCTGCCCTGACTGATCAGTGCATGGCTCCTCTGATTACATCCACAGCATCTGCCCTAGTGCTGGCCCAGGGAAGACCAGATACAGTGATGTTAGAACACGTGGAGGGATACAGAGGTGACAAGGTGGAGGAATGCCTCTGACTTTCTTGTGGAGTGTTGTGAAGTGGGAGAACGCAGGTGTCTTCCTTACTGCTGTCTTTGTTCACTCAGTATTTTTTGGCAAGTTTCTACTTCCACTTTGATAGGTCTAGAATAATAGGATCCAAATGTACCATTGCATCCTAGAGTCATGTGCAGTGGAGATTGCTGCTAACTTTCCGTAACTTCTCTCTGTCACTTCTGGCTGGAAGTGCTTGGCACTTGTCAAGCTCCACTCTTTCACCCAAGAACACTACTCTCTTCCCAGGTATCTTGGTGTGAAACTTCAGTCATCAACGTTGTCTTGTTCTTTATCTAGTAACAAGAGTTGAGTGAGCCTTTCATCTGCCCTCCTAAAAGGCCCTTTCCATGCCTTCAGTTCTCATGACTCATATGAGTCACCCTTTAGGGATTCCAACATATGGAAACATGAATGTTATCTAGTTAGTTTTAAGCAAGCTAGTCCCTATGTAACACTTTGTCTACTCTCTGTGGTTCCCAATTATCTTCAATTCCAACCAGGCAAGTTGCTCTCTCAAGGGCTAAATGTGTGTAGTTTTCAGTGTCCAATACTTTGTACATTTGCTCTCACAAGCTGGGGTTTATTATTTCCCCATTCTCTTAATCCACACTCTGTGCAGAGTTCTGTCAAGCCCTCCTAATAATGGAGGCTGCCTGTATTCTTCAGTTTCTTGGATGCTTCTTGTAGCATAAAGAAAATGCTAAGCTGATTTTCAGATGAAAGTTCCAACACACAATAATATTTTGGAGTCTGGACATTGATAGAACATTCGAGAGGACAGTAGGGTGGACAACATCAAGTCCAACGTTCCAAGCAGGGAGTGCAGTGCTCTCAAGTTAAAACTCAGCAGATGGGCTGGAAATGGCAAAGATCCAGAGGCCTAGGCTGGTGTACAAGAGAACAGCACAGCCAGAGCAGGGATGACACAGGGCGTTCCTTTTTGATGGCCAAGACTAGGATACGCTCAATGCCAGCTACATATAAGTCCATGGTACAGAAGAACATATAAAATGATGTCCTCATCTTAAGAACCCTCTCTGGCCATCCTCTTTGCTTTGACACTACCTACCCTGCTACATATTCTTTTCACTCATTCCATAGGCATCTCTGGTCTCTCCTAAGCTGCTGCATACCAGAGCTCTGTCCAGCTCTTTGGTCTCTTTCTCTCTCTTTCTGATGGATGATGAGGAGGGAGTAAGAGCTCAGGGGGTGCTTTTTGATCGAGAGGCATGAGAGAATAGGCAGAGAAATAATAGGAGAAATGCATATCTATATATTTCTGTTTACTCATTGTTAGGGGAGAGGGAGATAAGAAAGCATGGAATTTATAAGGAAAGCTTGTATGATAGCAAGATTTAAGAAGCGCGGATAAGCAGGAGAGAAACCTCAAGTGGCACCCTGCAGTCTACTTGCTACTTCTCCATCCTTTCCCCGGTGCAAATCAGCCCTTGAG